AGCATGCTTCAATTTTCATAGTTTTAAGGGAGTATTACATTTACATTAGACTTACGTTTGGGACGATGGAAATGGAAGCACAGCAGCAGGACAAAACCCTGGCATAGGAATAGGTTGCAGAAGGTCCCTTGCCCTCAAGATTTGGGTTTCTGTGCAACTTAATTCTACCATGTGTAAGGAACTTCTCTCCCTTAATCCCGTGAATACGTGTCAGCAGCGCTGGTGACTGACTTTGCCAGCTCGGCGCTTTGGCCTCTGAAAGTGAGGCAGATAGATAATTCTTGCAATTCACATAGCTCTATATCTGAAAACCGATAAGCAGGGCCGATACAGAAAACAGAAGCAGCCAAATAAGTGACTCACCTATCACCAGCGTGGAGGCCCCCGTGTTGGTGAATGCTGGTGTGAGGGATGAGGTCTCGCCAGCTCCGATGGCCATAACGCCGGGCAGCGATGCCATGATAAGGTTCTGCGTCTGCTGGCTCAGGGCGTGTGGATTTTGCTCTAGGCTGTGCAAGGCCGTCAGGGTGCTGACGGGGGGGAGAGTTCCTCCGGGAGCCGAGATCTGTGTGAAGGGACGTCTGTGAAAACGCCATCTGCAGCAGGCCCCAAAGCTGTGATAAACTTCCTTCTCCCTCTTCTTGCCTGCCCCGACCCCTTGCCAACTAGAAACGCTTTGCGTTTGCTTATGTGCAGTTTCTCTGTGGTTTCTTTTATGCTCATCAGTCAAGTGCTAAAGGTCTGCTGTTGAAAAACGAAGGGTAGACCTTCTCTCTGTTTTAACTCTTCGCATCCGAGAGCTCATAAGGGCTGTACGGACAGGAATGAGGTTACTGCCTTCCCTACGGGGAAGGCTCGTCCTCTCTTAATTACATGACTTTGGCTGTGGAGTTCAGCACAGAATCCAGGAGTTCCTCTTCTCTTACTCACTTTTACTCTGAGAAACGCCTGTGATTTCCCTTCCTCTCAGCAAGTGTCTTTTAGTGGCCAGTGAGTTTTCAGGCAGAGATTTTAAAGGAGCTGCTGAAATGTTTCTGTATGTCCTTTTTCTCCCCGTGTATGTTCTTCAGGCCGTGCTAATTGGCAGCCGCCCGCTCTTAGAAAAGCCGCGTGTCTGGGGATAGAGCAGGGCTGTTCTAGGCTTGGACGTCTTGCTGATCCGGTCTGTGTCCCTGAATCGCTGAGAAATTTAATAACCTAACTGTTTCCCCAGGCCTCTAAAATGAACTCTGTCACCTGTGTCTATGCTATAATGGGGTTTTGAGTTTGCAAAGCCCTTTAAAGATTCATAGTTTAAAATAAAATATTACAGAAGCACAAAGCAGCATTCTAATAATTTGGCTGACAGAGACAGTTCAGTGATACCTTTTCTGCTCCCCAAAGACAAAAAGCTGTAGGGACTTTTTAGGCAGAGTAGGCAGCAACAGGTTAAACAGTGGGGCAAATCACCTTGATGTCAATTTTGGAAGACAGCTCTAAAAGAAGATTTTTCAGTGCCTCATGAAAGGCTCCTTTTCTTCAGGGAGAGACTAGAAAACCAGCAGAGCAAGTGAACAACAGCAGAGACTTAAATCGTACTCGTTCACAGTGCGCTTAGCTTTGCCTCAGGCCAGTAGGCGCTAATGCAAACTTCTGCCAACAGGTACCCTGCAAGCAAGGGAAGGTGTGCAAACCAAAAATGATCAGTCGCATAATTAGCAGTGAAGCAGTAGGACTGTGATGGAAAGAAGTTTCAGAAAAACTCAGTCTGCTTTGAGAAGGTAGGTGGCTACAGTCCAGATACCTGGACGTGTCTCCCTGGTAGATGCTGCTTACAGGCTGTTGGGCTTAATTTTGTAGATAGGATAAATGTAAGTGACCAGTCTCTGATCTGTTCATCCCACTGGAAGTCTGATCAACCAGCTTGAGATGTATAGAGTATGAGCGCTGGAGATGATGAGAATCTCCCTGGGGAAGGAGGAGAGAGAAAAAGGCTTCCTGGGAGGAAGGAAATTATGTCATATCTTGAGCTCTATTTTCTCAGAATAGAGTGTTTTTGTTAGTCTTGGGGAAATGGCTGTACTTGTTTTTGTGCCCTAACACCCACCCTCACCAGGAGCGTGGGGGGCCCAAGTATCCTGAGACTGCTCATATTATATGGGCAGTATGAAGCTGACTATATAATATTGCTGCAAGAAGGTTGTTTTTGAGAGTATTCTAGGACACACCGGTTCTGAATAGTGCATATTGTGACCACAGACAGAGGATCTGACATCCTGTATCACCAGTTCTTCAGTGTACATCACTCACCAGCTTAGTGTCTGTGCTCAGTAGGTTCTGGCTGGGCTCCAGTCCAGGGGGAGAAACCTGATGCAGGATGGTTTGGGTGGTCACCATGGAGCTGTTCCCATGGTGGTTGCTGCTGGAGGACTCTGCCTCGGTGGCTGGCTGCTGGTTGTACCTCACTCCTGCGTCAAGACAGGATGGAACTGGTTGTCAAAAATGAACTGAGACATTTTGGCAAGTGCTAAATTCAGTTTCCTTTGCAGTCACTTGTCTTTGTTCAGAGCAAAGAGATGAGGTGGGTGGTAGAGGAACCAGGAGAACAGGCGTTCTCACCGCTGTGTCCTAGGTTTCCTCTGTAACTTGGCCAAACTCCTTCCTCAAGTACTGACGTTCAGGTATGGTTGTGTGCCCTTCAGGGAGTGAGCTGGGCTGGCCGGAAACCTCCCTGGATGTGGGCGTAGACAGGAATGAGCCTCAGTAAGATCATCTCTTCCCAGAATGACATCAATTACCAGCTCTGGCCTATGGAGCTGGCAGAGCTCTTGCTCCTGGGTGGGGAGTGACCTTTCCTGAAGCCTGAAAGTTCAGCTGTGGAGTCTGATGCTGCTGATATGAGGTACTGGAAAGAATGATAGGCACACACGTGTGAAAGCATATAGAATTAATTTGTGATGGCAGGCCAGTGGATGACCCCTTGGAAAGGGGTTGCTGCCTGCCAGCTGTGAGGGGGAAGCAGACTGAAAGTGTCATCTTTGGTTTTCTAGCCACCCTCCTGTCCTCACCCA